ATGGTACTAAAACATATTTATGTGCATAGGTAGTAATAAAGTATAAAATAACTTTTCAGGTTTTATTTAAATTATGCACAAAAACATAAAAGACTAAACGATATTTCATAAAGTGATACTGTACTACTGCAATATAAAACTTTGCCAAGACACGTTTTCCAGCACGTACTCACATTTTAAAATACAAAATACAAAACAAAAAAAAACATAAAAAGAAACCAATTCCGGTCGAATTTCGCCACAATATTATGAGTTTAAAAGCATTTACTTCGCGATGATGATTTGCTACGATTATAAGTGTTGGTAGGCTCTTCTGCGCTCTCTCGTCGGCCAGCAGATCCATCATCGCCTGTTAGCGTTTCATCGACGCTGTCATCGTCATCGGGTATATCTTCTTCGCTGTCGTGTTCGCTTGCGTCATTAATACGGGAGCTCTGTAAATTTATTCAATCATACACAAACTTACAATACACCAAAAGTGTTAACTCTTCAATAATTTAAGTCAGTTTATATTAGCCCAGAGAGGATTTGGATTTGATTTGCAGAGGTACGGTTGGTTATCGGGTTTGTATGAGGAATTAGATTATGAGGTAATTTACAATGCTCCATAGTGGGTGTCCGATTTATTTATATGCATACATCCCTAGTTTAGAGTAGAAAGTTGCGAAGTCTACTTATTCTAAAAAATATGTATTTTGATGTATTTTATTTCTAACCATTTCTACTCAATGATACGCAAACTTGCCAAGTCCAAATAGTCACAGAGAATGCAATGAGTCTCAAAGAGTATAAAAACTTTTCACCAACATTGTGGAGTTTGATTCGTATGGAGTCGTATTAGCTTGGAGTAGGCGAAAACTTGTATTGCTCGAAAAGTGTTTATTCTCTCCTGTAAACTTTTAAAAACCGGACTTAGCAACTTTCCGCTCTAAGCTAGCGATTTGCGATATGTTTGAATGTACATATTTGTATTTAACTTACTTGTGACAAAATTTCATCACCGTGTATATCCTTATTTTTGAGATTGCCCATTGTAAATACGGAGGAACACTTATTGGCTGTCATAAGCGCCTTTACGCGAAAAACCAATGTTTCGACAGTTTCTCGCAACGCTGGAATTTGTCCAATGATCGCTGTATTCCGGAGTGCCTAAATGTATGCGACGGAAAGTTTATTCGATTAATGCTGTGAAATAGGTTTTAGGTGTTAAAAACATAAATATCAATGCGGAAATATAAGTAGAAGGCTCAAAAGACATTTTTCATTTATCCGGTTGAATACTTTTACTGTTAAACAACATTATACTTTGGGGTGGTTAGTGAATTGGCATTCATTAGCGGATACTTAAATGCTTCTGACTACATTAATATCATAAAGAACTAAAGAACTATTCCGCTTCCTTTGGTTGCTAGTCCCATTTTTTAAAATGTCTGTGTGCTCTGCAATAAGGCAAAGAAGAACACTTTTACAAGCCTATTCTGCGCTGGTAATAAAAATAAGCTGACAACAAAGTATTGCCCCGTGAAATATGCAACGTCAGAATTTCCACAACTCTTCTTAGCTTAGATTCTAGAATCGCGGTGACAAGAACAGGTAACATTTTTTGGCAATAAAATTTTCCGGTTACAAAATCTGCGGTAACGTGCAGAATAGACCTGTTAGTATTAAATAACAATATTATCAAGGATATTGAAGTCCCTTTCTCTCTTTCTGTTTAAATCTA